TTTTAACTTCGATTATTTGATCAAACAGAACTCATAGTCTTATGGGTTGCAAAGATATATGGATTAGAAAATCAGAAGTTCCACCCTGGACTAGACACAGGCTATGATGTGGATCAGTGTCCTCAATTTGTATTCAATCGCATTTTCTTCTGTAATTCAGCAGCATTAACAGCAGCAGGTTTAACAGTTTAGTTCTTAAAAGGCAACCAAGCTGTGACTTTCAATCACAGTTTGGCGAAATTTTTACTTTTTAATTAAAAAGTATCATAAGACAATTGTAAACAAAAACCGAACGCATCTCATTCTCGTTTTGGTTACTCCGAGGTCCCCAAAAAGTATTAAGAAAAATAATGAGATTTTTGTTCGCTTAGTGGTCAAATTGTGATAAAAAAGTAACAGTTTAAAGACCGAACTGCTGAATCAGTGTGAATAAGACCAACCACCCCGGACTAACCATGGTGAGAAGCATTCAGTTTCTTATATTCGAAATCAAACGTGTTTATGTCTATAATTCAGCAATCTATAAACTTACAGAACCGTTAAAGCCACGTGCAACATTTGTTGTGATATCTCACATGAACACAGGAATGGTTTTAGCATCAGTCAAATTGAAGATTTTTGTCTGGCAAAAACCTTGTTTAAATTTGGTAGGTGTAAAATGTATAAACAATAAAATTTAAAGGTTAAATTGTTAATAAAAACAGTGGCCCGATGCACTCTGAAACCATTGTATACACTTTTTAGTATTTAAACATCTACAGAAGAAGACATGTGGGTAAAAACATTTATGGTTTACACTCCATTAATCGGTAATGGTATGTTTTACTTTGTCTACGATGAAAGCATATTAGCTGAGAGTAAACACCAGAAAACAGATAGTCACCCCTTTTCCAAATCATTAATAAACAAATGTACAAAACCGAAATAAATGTAGAGAAATTGTAGGAAAATATGTATTAAAAGAAAAATTGTGCTTTGAACCTCTTTAAACTTCAAGTACCGCGCCGACTCTCAAGGAGCTAGAGCAAGCTGTACAAAACCCACACAGAATAAATAAAGCAAAACGGTATAGTACGCTAAATGAACCATGTGAATTGGGCTGCAAGGGGATTATAGTTCTCCAAGGAGAATTGAATTCAATTCTCCTTGATAGTTATCTACCTGTGTGCTCAGTTAGTTATAATAATATTGAAATACTATGCAGTACGCTCTCAGTATAGTTGATGGCCTATACAATTAGGAAAGGATTAGCGTACATCACCACATCGTCGGGATTGGGGAACAGGGAGTCCTAGAAAATGAAATTGTTAGAGAGTCCTCACCTTTTCAAAATGTTGCCTAAACAAGAATTGAATCAACTGATCGGAACTAAACTCAACATGAAGTGATCAACTGAACAGGAGTGATCAACTGAACAGGAAGTGATCAACTGAACAGGAAGTGATCAACTGAACAGGAAGTGATTAACAAAACAGGAAGTGATGAACTGAACAGGAAATGATCAACTGAACAGGAAGTGATCAACTGAACAGAAAGTGATCGACTGAACAAGAAGTGGTCCTTAAAACAGGAAGTGATCAACTGAACAGGAACTGATCAACTGAACAGGAACTGATCAACTGAACAGGAGCTAATCAACTGAACAGGAACTGATCAACTGAACATGAACTGATCAACTGAACAGGAAGTGATCAACTAAACAGGAAGTGATCAACTGAACAGAAAGTGATCAACTGAACTAAACATGAATTAATCAACTAAACAAGAAGTGATCAACTAAACAAGAAGTGATGAACTGAACTGAAAGTGATCAACTGAATAGGAAGTAATCAACACTTGAGTGATTTGACAAACCAACCAGGAAAAGAATAAAACATCCATGAAAGCAAATGATGGCGGAAGAGAAAGTATTTTAAAGCTGAATCTCCTGGTTTCTGATTTCAAGGAACATCCTTTAACCTAAAAGCTTTTAGAATTAATAAGGTTGAAAGGTTGAACTAACCAAACTTATTAGATTAGATCCAGGATCAAATTTGAGGTATTATATTAGGTTAGAAGAAGTAGGGTAGGGGAATTATAAATAACTCTATAAAGTTAACCTAAATATATAAAATATACAAACAGACTTATCCTTTTGGCTCTGTGCTCTACAAAGTATGGTATCTGTACTTATAGACTGACTATTATATAATATCTAATGGATCTTTACTCAATATTCGTTGTACTTTGCTTTCGTTTATCTAATGTACTATATTGTCTTTGTACTCTATTGTCTCTGTACTCTATTGTCCCTGTACTCTATTGTCTATGTACTCTATTGTCCATGTACTCTATTGTACTCTATTGTCTCTATACTCTATTGTCTCTGTATTCTATTGTCTCTGTACTCTATTGTCTCTGTACTCTATTGTCCCTGTACTCTATTGTCTCTGTACTCTATTGTCTCTGTACTCTATTGTCCCTGTACTCTATTATCCCTGTACTCTATTGTCTCTGTCCTCTATTGTCCCTGTACTCTATTGTCTCTGTACTCTATTGTACTCTATTGTCTCTATACTCGATTGTCTCTATACTCGATTGTCCATGATTAATTTGATAAAATTGATCTCAAAATTTTTGAAAATTCGGGTGTTTTTATACATTTTAAAACAGATGCTATGAATTGAATAATAGTAATAATTAAAATCTTTTTGAGGAAATAAAGAACAATTCTCGAATATGGATAAAATGTTATTTTCTTCATGAAAGGGGCGCAAAGTACACCCAGTCTAAAATAAGCTCTAGATCTCAGCTTATAAAAATAATTCTGCATGCTACAGATGGTTATAATTAATTTTAAATTATTCATTTCTTTATAAACTTTGACAACAGAAACTTTGTCTGTCTTTGTTCTAGTTTCAAAATGAAAATATAACTTTAAGTTTTTCTAAAATTGAAACTTCTTCTTGCCCTCCATCTCCGCCCCCCCCCTCCACCATTCGTATTCCCCCCTCTCCTTTCTAATTAATTTTCCCCCTATCTTATTTTCGAGTTTCTATTCCAAATTTTATCAAATGAGCACATAATTTTGTTTCCATTTAAAAAAGAAAAAATAAAGGATTTAGATAAATCATATTTTGTTCATAGCTAAATAACTGAAAAGCAATTTTTCCGTTAAATAAAATGTGATTCTGGGAGTTGACATAACAACGCAATTTTCTGAATTTGTAGTAGAATATATTTTCCCTGCCTCAAGGGAGAATGCAGACTGTTGCAAACAGTATTTTACAAAAATAAATAAATGCTGGACAATGGAAGTCCTTTAATTGAAAAACAAAATTTCGTGTAAGAAATAAAAACAAAAATTAAATTACAGGGTGTCCCAAAAGACATGGGAATTCAGTGACGAATTCGATATCGTCTTTGTTATGAATTAGCATTGTAATACCTAATTTCAAAAGCCATATTATTATTATGTCTGCTAGAGTTTATTTTATGAAAAGGGTAAAAGACTACAAAGATGTGTCTATAATGTCTCCGCAAGATGAACAGTGAATACGGACAAGTTTACTCTGTTTGCAACTGTAATTTTCTTGTTTTACTAAGTACAACCGGTTGCAGTCACAACATAAACAAACAAAATGTAAACATAGCAGACGAAACTCTTACAGATTACAGCTTTCTCAGTAGGTATCACTATACTAAATCGAAGAATTATTTGAAAAGACGATATCGAATTCGTCACTGAATTCCCATGTTTTTTGGGACACCCTGTACTAAATATTTGTCCAGCCAAGGTTTGTTTTTAAGGCTAAACCAAGCCACATGCACAAGACACGAGGTGTTAACAGTTATCCCATCAAGTTGTGACTTAAATATTTTTCTTGTTAAAGTAAAATAAAATGTTTAAAGATTATTGAATTCTAGACCAATTAGGGAAATTGAATTGAAATGAAATGGAAGAAACCGAAATAATCCAGCCCTGGTTAGTTCATGGTGCTATGTACATGGTTAGTACATGTACAATGTACATGCTATGTACATGGTTTGGTTAGTCCTTTATACGGACCTGAATTTGATATGTGTAATGGTATTTTTTGTTGGTTTCAATTATATTTTTAAATATAATTTTATTGTAAAATCTCTGGTAATGTTAAAACAAGAAAAGGAATTTATTATTTAGATAGATATTTGCACTCATAATGTTGTTAACTCTACATCAATTCTCTTTAAAACTCTCTCTAATTCTCAAACCTATTCTCAATTCTCAATTCTCTTCAAACCTGTATTCGAGTAACTATACGAAAAATATCGGTCTTTTTATCTTATCTCATAATACTTTCATTAACGATACTTTTTACTTTGTTCGATAACTAAATGTATTTAAAATCCAATTCCGGTTTAGTTTCAGTTCCGGTTTAGTTTCAGTTCCGGTTTAGTTTCCATAAGTTTCAATTTCTAAATGTCAAAAGTATTGAGTCACAACCTCCGATTTTCTTAACTCTATTTCTTTGCAACCTGATGTCTTATTAGATTTTTTAAGTTTGTGGCAAAGACTCAATTCCTATCTTTATTTAAACCGTTTAGCCGTTTAGCCGTTTAGCCGTTTGGGTGTACAGACGTTTTTTCAAAACTAACAAAGATTAAAGATTTTTTGTTGCACAGAAAATCGTTTTGACAAGGAAATCTTATCTTGTTAAAATACTGATATCTATTCTTATCAATTATCAATGATATAACTTATTATGATATTTCTCATATTTTTTTTCTAATCAATACAAATTTACGCTTATACTTTTTACATATATTCTTTCTTTATGATTCATAAGTTCAATATATTCACATTCATGATTAGTGTTAATTAACGAATCTATTAGATTATTTCATTATATTTTCTTTAAAAAATTGAAACTTGTATTTAGTTGAAGGTAAAGACTTTTACACGTCAATTTTTAAGATTACTAGAGGGTTCTATTGAGATTTAAGATTTTATAAAAATTATAATAAATATTTAAACAAGGTAGAGGTTTCTTAGAAGTACAACTATAAGTTAAGGAGAAGGAGAAGACCTAGGTTTAGGAGAAGGAGAAGAACCAGGTTTAGGAGAAGGAGAAGACCTAGGTTTAGGAGAATGAGAAGAACCGGGTTTAGGAGAAGGAGTAGAACCATAGATTTAGGAGAATATAGAAAAACTAGGTTTAGTAGAAAGAGTAGAACTATAGGTTTAGGAGAATATAAAAGCAATAGGTTTAGGAGAAGGAGAAGAACCATAGGTTTAGGAGAATATAGAAGAACTAGGTTTAGGAGAAGGAGTAGAATTAGGTATAGAAGAAGGAGAAAAACTAGGTTTAGGAGAAGGAGCCTAACTAGGTTTAGAAGAAGGCGAAACTAGGCTCAGGAGAAGGAGTAGAACCATAGGTTTAGGAGAATGTAGTAGAACTAGGTTTAGAAGAACGATTTTAACTAGGTTTAGGAGAAGGAGAAGAACTAGGTGCAGGTTTAGGATGATGGGTAAAACTAGTTTCATATTTAGGATAAAGAGAGTGTGGGAAGGTTTAGGAGAAGAATTAGAACTAGGTTCAGGATTAGGAGGAAGAAAATGTGGCGAGGTTTAGAAGAATGATAAGAACTAGGTTTAGGTTCAGGATGAAGAGAGAAGAATGAAATTTCAAGGACGGAGCCGTGTTGGATTTCATCTCTGCTGGCTGCTCTCCTGCAATAAGGAATCGTGAAGAAAATTTAAATATTATAAAATAGAATTAGATTTATTGCATAGCTGGGAGAAGAAATTATCTGCATTGGATAAAATATGGAAATAATTTCATTTTTCAAATTCTTCTAAACACTGACGAATTTCTCCATTCCTGTAGATATGCTTCATGTGTAGAATAATAATATTTAAAGCTTTGTTAAAATTATTTTATTATTTAGATTTATTTCGAACAGTTGGTCGTTGGTTATATGTATTCCTATAATGGATTTTGGAATTTCTAGAATCAAAATTCTGGTTTCTAATTTAATATCTCTGCGGCGGCGATGGTGTAAAATCTTAGATATTTAAATTCTTTACTCCGAGTTCAATATCGAGATTAAACAAATCTGACGTTTTTTTAAAGATATTATAGAAGCAGTATGATTAAGGAAAATGTCTCGATTTTACTAAAGATGATATAGGTTTCTATGACCAATAATGATCAAAAAGATTTGGTTTGTTTTCTTCGCAAACACATACAGTTAAAAATCCCAATAAATGGGTTGATTCGACTAATGCTATAAAATACTAAAATATATAAAACTAGTTGAATTGCCCTGCGTTGCCCGTGGCATTAAAAAAAATTGGAAAAAAAATTTGAAAAAAAAAATTCAATCTTGAAAAAAAAATGTTTAGCCTTTTTTACTCCCAGGTCGCCCAATCGCCCAAAGGTTGCCAATTTGGTCCATCATTTGGCAAGCTTTAGCTATTCATATACAAATATATATATATATGTATAAGCGAAGAGCTTTATTATATAGATATATGATATAATAATATCATAAACCATTCTTAGATTAAGAGACAACCTATAATAGAGGGTTTTCATTTGAAGGTTCGCTTGGAGGTTTTTATTAGAAGTTTTTGTTTCGGTGGCTTTCTTTTGGAGATTAATATAGAAGATTTACGATCGGAGGGTTTTAAGTGGGAACTTATATCTTAAGTTTTTTTTGTTACATGGGTTTCCGTTATAAATTCTTTTTTAGAGAATTTTTTATCGAAAACCTCTTTTTGGAAATTTTTTAATGGAGTTTTTATAGGTAATTTCGTATTGTAATTTCTATCAAAGGTTGAGGTCTTTTTTGTGTAAATTTCCAACAGAGGTTTTATTGGAAATCTGTATTTGTTGTAATTAATCTATTGAGATTTTTCTTTTCGGGTTTTTTTCAAAAAGATCTTACCGTCAATTACATGAACCCTCACTGTATCTTCTCTACCCAGAGTTGGTCCACAGGTAAACAATCCGTCATGCTCCATTCTTGATCTACTGATCCTGTAATATATAATCCGTCATGCTCTATTCTTGATCTACTAATCCTGTAATATGCAATCCGTCATGCTCCATTCTTGATATACTGATCCTGTGATATACAATCCGTCATGGTCCATTCTTGATCGACTGATCCTGTAATATACAATCCGTCATGGTCCATTCTTGATCTACTGATCCTGTAATATAGAATCCGTTATGCTCCATTCTTGATATACTGATCCTGTAATATACAATCCGTCATGCTCCATTCTTGATCTACTGATCCTGTAATATACAATCCGTCATGCTCCATTCTTGATATACTGATCCATTAAATACACTCCGTCATGCTCCATTCTTGATATACTGATACATTAAATACAATCCGTTATGCTCCATTCTTGATATACTGATCCATTAAATGCAATCCGTCATGCTCCATTCTTGATATACTGATCCATTACATACAATCAGTCATGCTCCATTCTTGATATACTGATACATTAAATACAATCCAACATGCTCCATTCTTGATATACTGATCCATTAAATGCAATCCGTCATGCTCCATTCTTGATATACTGATCCATTAAATACAATCAGTCATGCTCCGTTATTGATATACTGATCCATTAAATACAATCTGTCATGCTCCATTCTTGATATACTGATCCATTAAATACAATCCAGCCTCCTGCTTTTGCTACTGTTTTGTATATTAAGCACTGGTTTTTCTTCATTTTAAGTTAAAATTAGTTACTTTCATATTTAGAAGTTTTAAATTCTTTAATCGTTTTTGGTTTATCTGCAAAAGAAAGTAATTAAAATTAATGCAGATTAACAACAACTGTTGTTTTGGTACAATAAGAATTTGAATATTTTTTGATTTTCAGCGTAATATCAAGGCTTTTTACTTGTATTGTATACAAAGAGAATCAGAAAACTGTGGAATAGGAAAACGACATTAAAGCAGTATTAAAAGTGTTTTTGATGTTGTCACAAAGCATCTAGTTTTATTAGAAACTTAAATATCAATTATAAAGTGTAATGGTCTATAGCACACTGCACAATAGCTGTATCTCCTGTTCCATGGGACTATTTATGATCACAACTTGAGTCTAAAAGTCGTCTTCCTCTTCCACAGCTTTTGTTTCTGGTTCTCCACACACATTTACAGAATACCATAAAAATATACTTTGATATCTTACCCACACGGCTTTAGGTTTAAATATAGAATAAAAAATACCTGAGGATGCTTTCAAACATTTCCCCATTTTTCTCTAGAACCTTAGCTCCAAACCCAGGACCAGTCTGACCCATCCAATCCAGTACTCTACATAGTAATATATAGATTAGGTTACTCTAGAACCTTAGCTCCGAACCCAGGACCAGTCTGACCCATCCAATCCAGTACTCTACATAATAATATATAGATTAGTTTACTCTAGAACCTTAGCTTCGAACCCAGGACCAGTCTGACCCATCCAATCCAGTACTCTACATAGTAATATATAGATTATTTTACTCTAGAACCTTGGCTCCGAACCCTGGACCAGTCTGACCCTTCCAATCCAGTACTCTACATAGTAATATATAGATTAACAGTCTGACCCATACAATCCAGTACTCTACATAGTAATATATAGATTAGTTTTCTCTAGAACCTTAGCTCCGAACCCAGTACCAGTCTGACCCATACAATCCAGTACTCTAGATATATATATAGAGAAGTCTACTCTAGAACGTTAACTCCGAACCCTGAAACCATCTGACCCATCGATATCCTAGATTGCAATTATGAACATAATCTATCTATACCTTGAGTTAAGGTACCAGAAGACTGCCATACTCTCATGAACACCCTCGCCCTTGTTGACTAGACACCTGAGCTCCAACCTGCTTCCTTTCTTCACAAACAAATCCTGGTCCTTGTCCTGGATCTCTGCCTTAGCTTCTACAATCATATATATTATTATATACAGTGAATCTCAGATATATGGATACATAGCAAGAGTTTTCTAAACAGCTTTCTTCATGCCGCAGAATAATAATAAAGCATAACAACTGTCATGAACAAATTTCAAGACGACATTTCACAAGCTCTTGCTATGTACACTTATATGTGAAATCTACTGTATCTATATATATATATATATATAGTTAGCACACATTGAGCTCACAACTTATTTATTTTAAATCTGTTCAAAACGATTAGTTGGTTCCCCTTGTAGAAACATATTCAACCCTTTCTTATAATGATTTCGTATTAATGTTTTTGCGGAATTTCCAAAGAAATTAATTTTTGCCACAACAACCCTAAACTGTCAGATTCCTATATCTTGGCAACCTGATGGTGCAATCCTTTGATGTTCCAAATTTAGATCATTTGATATAAAAAACACAGTTTGAAATCTCCAAGGTTTACAGCATTGGGTTGTTCAGATATTGGGATAAAAAATTTGACCTTGTGGCAAAGACTTAACTTATTTTTTTGGGCAAGATTGCAAGATTTGTACGTAGTGGACTATCCATGCTTTAGAATAGTTTTATGGCCTTATTTCTGTAAATCCGTGTATATGTACTATGCAATCTAGATAGAAACCTTTCATTGTTAAATATACTGAGAAATAGTACAACATTAGATGTCGGTTTGTTCAGAATATTTAATGAAATAAGTGGAAAAATTGTCAAATCATAATAAGAAAGTTATATCTGACATTTGAAAATTTCCCTTCTTCGCACTCTTAATGTGTTGAAAAATAAAGTTAAAGGAAGGCATATAAAGAATTATACCCAAGAACTGTTGATTGTCAAGTACTCCAATGTTCCAATCTCAGATATTAAATCATTTTTACTTTTTGACCCTTAAATTTATCTAGTTTTCATTTTACACAATAAAAACAACTTGATTACGCAAATTGCGTATTATGGATTTTAAAACTATTCTCGTATCAATAGTTTATCAGAAAAGGAGCTATACATGGTTACTCACCAAGGATGAGACTGTAAAGACGACATGAAACTCTTTAAATTTGATGATTCTGAAGTAATATTAAGTTTTCTGTCTTGAATAAAATCTTGTTATGAGGCAAAGATAAAAACCAAGTTGTTTACAGTTGCAGGGAATCATTGTTATGGATAAAAGGAAATAGACCGTGTAAATTCTGTACAATCGTCGCTGAAGTCTCATCCTTTGTGGTTACCCCTGTATGTGTAAAAACTTGAAAGATTTCAATCTAAAATAAATAACTTAGTTTCATAGAAAGGATACGGTTAGATAAAAGCTATATATAACTATAGCAATATCTTAGAACTAGAGTAGTAGCATTGAATGGCATGGCAAATAGAATTTCCTTTAAAGGAATTGAGTCTTTGCAACAAACTCTGATTTGAAATACCTATATTTTTGCAAACCAATGTCGTCGACCAAAGAATATCTTAAACTATAAATTCTGTTAGATCAAATAATTTAAGTTTCAGGTTGAAAAGATTTATGGATTAGAACAGTTTAGCTCGTGGAAAAGACTCAATTTCTTTGAAAGTTCTTCAAGTGTCACAAGCAGTTGATATAAAGATCGTGGTTATTGTATTGAAAAAATTAAAGTAAAATAAATTGAAACCTGCTTGTTATCAAATACAAGCTTTTCACACAAAAAAGATACAAAGTAATAAAGGGAAGAATCGCCACGAATTTTAAAGTGAATGCATTTTATGTTAACGAAGTTAGCTTTACAGTTAGCTTTAAAATGCAGGAAATTATTTTAGATTCTTTTTTACATAAATTGGTATCTCTTCCTTTGAAGCTAGAATAATATTTACCAAGGTTTTGCATAATAATCTACCTCATCAAAATTTGACAAATTTGCATTAAGATGCATTAGGCAAACCAAATAAAAGGGCCCTGTCATTATTTTAAAACCAGACCTGCTCAAGCTTCATCTTTTTGTTTTTTATCTACTAGGTTTTCAGGTCGTTTCGCTCTAATTTCATTTTTATTTTTTTTTTAACTCTGAACTCCTAAAACCTTCCCTCGTGGTTAATTGCCATACAAAATTTGGGCCCGATCGATTCAGCCGTTTTGACGTTTATTGGATACAAAGGGACAGACAAACAGACAGACAAGCTAACTATGTTTATAGATGTTAAATTCTCTGCTATAGAATAACTATGTATGTAGTATGATGTCGAATATTCAAACTAAACTACGTTGTAAACCTCAAAATGAAAACAGAAAAATCTGCGAAATATTACCGTATTACACTGTAATTTTGTTTAATGGGACCGCTCACTTATTTGGGTAATTTAAGGGTAAACTAAACAGCCTATTCGATGTTGATTAGTATTAGTCTTACTTTTTAAATACAACAGTGGTCGGGGAAATCGTAATTTCATGTGACCTTCCATTAAAAAAAAGGAAATGCGGAAGTCAAACCTTATAGAAATCCAACGTATAGAAACCGCTACGTATTGCAACAAGGCGTATTTCCGGGAGAACATTTTTTATATTTTTGAGAAATTAAATAATCAGTGTAAAGTAGATATAATTTTTATAAAATCCTTTTATTTAAATGGTAAAACGGAATTTTATGAAATCGTATTAGCATTACTGGAGAACTTTTTTATACTTTTAAGAATTTTTTTTTTTTAAATAAAACTGTAAATAGCATTTTTATAAAATATTTTTTTAAATAGTAACATGCAATTTTATGTATAACCATATAATCATTCATCATTTATGTTGTCAGTACATAAATCTGGGGGACCTTAAACACAATAGAGAGCAGTACAAATGTACGTATTACTATTTTGCTCCTTTAATGTCTAGGGTATGTTAAAAAAATAGAAATTATGATAATGATAGTGATAAGCTACAATGCTTTACAAAAACGTTTAATTTCTCAAAAATGTAAAAAATGTTCTCCCGGAAAATAAGCCATGTTGCTATACGTAGCAGTTTCTATACGTTGGATTTCTATAAGGTTTGACTTTGGAAATACGTTATGGAACGCGCAATTAAAGATATTTTTTTTACGAGTTAAACATGGATCAAACAAAGCTTTTCATGGTACCGTTGTGAATCGTATATGCCACTTTTAAATGTAGGGTCACTTGAAGTATGGTCACGGTCCCTATAAGGAAAATTTTAACAAACATTTTAAATTCTAATTTTACTTCTTTATATATAATCTTCAAACGAAACATCTGTTTTACCTTTTTAAACAAAGTCTTTAAAGAAAAATATATCTTTTAATATTATTATATATAATTTTATATATATTTTCATATTGCAACCAAACTTTTGAAGAAAAACAAGAAAACAAGATTACCCCACTGTAATGGAAAGAATAAAAACGAAATGACCTGGAGAATAAAGTTAAGCTTATCTTAATTACAGAGTCCACAGTATAGCAAAATTTAAAAAATTCAGATTTATAATTCTCAATTCTGAACAAGCATAAACAGGTGTCAACAACAACATTGATTTAATTCAAAACTTTGCATGAAACAACATAATTCAGAACTAACTAAAACTTAAATTAACTCCGAAAAATATGCTCTTTCATATAAATAATATGAATTTATAAAAATGCTTTAACAAACTAATTAATTTAAGTCTTTGCCACAAACAAAAATTGTCTAATTACTATATCTTTGCAACCCGATGTTGGAGACCTTTAATATTTTAAACTATGAACTCTATTAGATCAAATAGTCAAAGTTTAAATAAGAAAATTTCAAAAACTCAGTTCCTTTTTAAAAATCGTAAATTATAATTCTCATAGTTTCAATCTGTTATTTAGATAATAAATCTTGAAGCTAGAATGGGCTGAGCGCTGTGGCTAGGCTAGAATATGCTAAGGGGCTGGGTTATACATATAGAACTATTAAGAAAATAAATCTGGGCACAACATTCAGATGCCCCTACCCGTTCCGAACAGGAAATACATCGTGATTTACTTTTAGATCTCTATATATTTATATAGGATTATAGGGTCATGTTCAGGATTAACATTGTTTTAAAAAATTGCATTAACTTGATATCTCATCTCTCAATGGTCAAACCTCAGAGCACAGTTCCAAAGAAATGAGAGAATGAGTTCAACTCTTTTTAACCGATTTAATTTATTCCGTCAATTCAAAAGTCCCCGACTCTGGATTTGAAAAGTTATTTTTTTCATATTTTCCTGATTGTAAATAATTTTCCCCAGAGTGAAAGTGAGGTGGCGAAAATTTAGTTTTTCCACATAAAATATTAGCAACTCTTTCTTTTTTGCATCATCATGCCAATTATACAAAGAAACCATAAACATCAGAATATTTACTTTTTTAATTACAAATTCTAAAAGATATTAGGTTGGCACAATTAATTCTTTTGATTTTATTTTAATCTGTTGAAAAATAACTATATCGGTAAAATTGATTTGTTATTTATTAGATTTTATGAGGAGCTAACTTTTAACTTCATTTACTTTCCCGCCCTCTAATCTTCTTCTGCATTTACAAATGCAATAAATGCATTAATTTAATGCAGTGCAACTTGAAATATTTATTTAACTTCCATTGATTTAAGTTTAAGTTAATCAGATTGGAAAATTTTTCTTTTGAGAAGTTTAGGTTGGATAAAGGAGAAAGGGGGCGGGGGGGGGGGGGTATTTGATTTTTAGAATTTTGAGATTTTAAAAATTATCTAAATCAAAAGGCTCAATGACGCTTATAACCAAAGACCAAAATTATAAAACTTGAAAATAATTATTACCCATTTATCAAATTAAATCACATGTATCTTACCAATTATCTAAAGCAAATTTTGATCACCAACATTTTTGGGATATTTTGTTCTTAACATAAAAAAATCTAGAAAGTTTCGAAAGAAAAAGGTTTAAAAATTTTTTGATTATAAAGCTTAAAAATTATAGAAACTTTGATGGTTCATTAAATTAAACAAACTGGAACAAAATTGGTTTAATCTCGATGAGTAAATATAAAATGATTTACTTTTGAAATTGTAGGACAGGAAAATGGAAAATTATAAATTTCAAGATATATAAGATTTAAAAAGAAAATGTTCAACATGAAGTAAAATTATAAAAGAATTAAAGAAAATAAAAAGTAAAAAATATAAATAAAATTTACAAATTTAAAATTTAAGGATAAATAAATAAGGGGAAGATTAAGATTAAAATATAATCTTTAGGATTATTTATATTTAATGTCTACTAGGTAAATCTTTAAACAAGAACACTAAAAAATCTATGATTTGATACCAAACATGACACATTTTCATTGATTTAATATTTCGACATTTTTAGATGTCATTATCGAAGGGAGGTCAAACTGAAGGTCGGATATATGTGTCTATATGGCTGATGTGGTAGCTAAAAATATGAGAACATGTCTGATAAACTTATTATGATTGAATTAGAGTAAAAAAAGTTGTATTTTCCCGTATTTTCTGAGTTCATGGAAATCAATGAAAATCACTGGAAATCAATGGAAATCAATGGAAATCAATGGAAATCACTGGAAATCAATGGAAATCATTGGAAATCAATGAAAATCACTGGAAATCACTGGAAATCACTGGAAATCACTGGAAATCAATGAAAATCAATGGAAATCAATGGAAATCAATGGAAATCAATGGTAATCAATGAAAATCAATAGAAATCAATGGAAATCAATAGAAATCAATGGAAATCAATGAAAATCACTGGAAATCAATGGAAATCAATCGAAATCAATGGAAAGGAATGACCTTCATTCTTAAATTTTCTTCGTGATCTATGTAGAAAACCAAAATTAGAGACTGCATTGCAAAATTTCAGCCTTATATCTCAATGTTTAGGACTAAACGCAGCCTGTACAAAAGTTGGTGTCAAAGTGTCGAATTGTATCTCCCGCCCCCCCCCCCTTTACCTTCCACGCTGAGAAAGATTGGTAAGCTCATTTTTGGTTCTGTGTTTATCTGACAGTGATACTCCCCTTCATCCTTCAGTTGGGTATACCTAAACAATTCACAATTCAAAAATAAGAGAAAGGAAATGAGTTTTTGCCACAAACTCTAACTGTTTCCCTCCTATATCTTAGCAATCCAATGTCGTAGACCTTTGATATTTCGAACTATGCATTCTGTTAGATCAAATAGTCTAAGTTTGAAATATCATCGGTTTACGCCATCTGGTTGTAAAGATATAGGGATTAGAAAATTTGAGTTTGTGGCAAAAACTCAATTCCTTTAAATTAAAGGTAGTGAGATTTTACCAGAAACTATAATTTTTTATTACTTTATCTTTGCAATCCGATGTTGTAGACCTTTCATATTTCAAACCATGAGCTCTGTCAGAAGAAAAAGTCTAAGTTTAAAATTTTAAAGATTTACACTAGGGTGTAAATCTAATATTGTAATTAGAACATTTGAGTTTGGGGCAAAATCTCAGTTTCTTTTTTGAACAAATATTTCGGGAAAGACAAGGGAAAGGTTTATTGGCAAAGAAACAAATAAAAAATCTATTAAAAGAAACTGAATTCTTGTCACGAACATATCTTTTCAATCCATTTTCGTATGTTCCTTAGATATCAGAAAATTCGAGTTTGTGGCAAAACCACAATTCATTCGGAAAAATTTATTTTAACGGAAAAATGTAATGATTAATGGGCTTTATCAAATACAATTCCAGATGTAAATCTTAGAGAACTGCTTGATCCAGGGAAAAACAAACATATAAACTTTTATTCACTGAAATTTCAATTCCTGTGGAATTGTCAAAAGCTGGTAATTGCATTTTTTCATGATTTTTTTTTCTCAAAAATTCAAAATAAAAGAAATAACAACTTTGCAAGCTGTAAGCGTTCAAAGAGGCAGCAGTATCTTTCTAATAAACGTAACTTTTTTATCGTAAGATTTAACCTTAATTATAAATTGTCCAAATGGAGGGGTGGTATTTCATGTTGGCGAGTTAAAAAAAGCACTGTTATATCATTCGTTCACTCCAAGTAATTTAAAACTGTTCTTTTTAGACTTTTGTGACTTAAAGGGGCTGAAATATTACACTGTGCACTTAATGTCTATGATTTATAGGGGGTTTTAAGTCACATTGGTGCTGAGCCTCCTGGAAAGAAAAAGTTAAAGATTCCTGAGGATTTGAATCGTTGATCCATGATTTGAACCAGCGGTAGGTAGATTCGCGACCTTTCCAATTCATTATTTCGATCCCTGGGTTCAGATATCAACATTTTGAATTATGTATTAACTGACCTTATCTGAAGGCTCCAAGAGTCTGATGAGTCTGAGTGCAAAGAGGAGAATCTTCTGTCTCCTGTGAAGGTGTGAGCTCCGCTGGTCAGCACATGGAGGTCACCTTTCCGTATCCAGGATACCTAGATAGATTGATAGATATATCTTGATTAATTTCTGTATCCAGGATACCTAGCTAGATAGATATATCTTGATTAATTTCTGTATCCAGGATACCTAGATAGTCCAAGGTTGCCCGACACTCCACAGACCAAAACAATTTGTTTTTTTTTCACCACTTTTATTAAAGGCCTCAAGCTCTCAGGCAAAAATCTATGAGAATTTCGCCAATTACTTCTTAATAGGCTAACAACAAGTGTTTCATAATGCTCAAATGGACATGTAAAGGCGTACAGAAAAGCATACGTGAGTTACAGTGCATAAAATCAAAGCCCAGGGCATTGCGACACTTCAAAGTCGACGCTGTCCTAAACATTAATGAGACTTTTTATGAGCAGGCTGAATCTATGCCGTCAGATATCTTGAATAAACATTTTGAAAAATTCTTCGATTTAGTGCAAACATATTTTATTAGATTCATCAGATATTTAATTACGCTTAATAAACATTATAATACTAAGGATAATTTAGCACTTTCAACTTTTTAAAGGATAACATATTCTGTTTTCACTGCATGAAAACTGATGGTAAATTTCAACACCTAATTTAAGTATAAATCGACGTTTTAAGCAAACAAATTTAAGTATTAGGACAAGTCAGCCCCATTTACCATATTTGATCAAAGCTGCACTTGGAAGTGAGAGATTAAAGCACTTTTACAACTAGCATTAAATCATTGAGTTTCTCTAGTTCCATTTATATTCAAATTGAAAATTAGAATTAGTTCACTAAAACTCTTTTATTTCAATCTCTCTTATTTTGGTGGAAAAACTTAACGGTTTTGTTTATAGCTAGGGAAAGTGGTTTACTGCTGTTTTACGGATTATCCAGTTTTGAATATTGAATAAAAGTAAAACTTGAATCAAAGAATTTACGGAATTTCTGTCAGAGAAAGAAGAAATTTGATATTCAGTGCTTTTATTGGACAGTATCAGAGAGTCCTCACTTGCAAACATACTTCAACCTTGCAAATGTAATTTTATTTTTTCCACTTAAAGATGTTAAATGCTGTATTTTAAGTTTTTATTTATTAGCTCTATAAGTCCACCCTGACCTAACAATGGGGAGAGAGTTTATTTAATTTTAATTCGATCGCGTTTCAACACTCGTTAAAGGAATTGAGTGTCTGCCACATTTGAGTTTGTTGCAAAGACTCAATTCCTTTACTTAATATCCTTTTATGATTTTTATTTAAAACGCATTCACCGACAAAAAAAGTATAAAATTAAAAGAGAAAAACTAAAAAATTATGTTTAATATGTCAAATTGTGATCGAAAGTCACAGCTTACTGGGAAAGATACCAAAATGTTAAGTCAGCGGAAATCGGTATGATACATAATGCAGGGTTAAAACTTAACTATTTATTGTAACAGTGGGTTAACTGTAAAGGCTGGTCATCTATTTATGGTACACATGTACTTCCTGGAATGCCTCGTAAGGACTTCTTATTTAAAAAAGGCAGTTTGGCTTGATTTCTCCCTCTAATAGGAAGTTGAGCCCAAAACCTCCTTGTTATACATCTCTTATGACGCATTTACTCTGCTTTGAAACATTTATCATTCCTATATAAGGAAGAAAAAGTGAGTTCCAAAGGTACCAGGGCCGTTTTCCGACAACTTCCTATGCAAGGAACTGTGGATGGAAATGACCTCGCTGCCTTAGGACTAGACAATCCTTCCTCTTTGAGTGATTATATTCTGCTTCAAAGCAGAGTAAATGCGTCATAAATGAAGTAAAACAAGGAGGTTTGGGCTCAACTTCCTATTAGAGGGAAAAATCAAGCTAAACTGCCTTTTTAAATCAGGAGTCCTTACGAGGCATTCCAGTTTTGGGACGATATGAATACAGTGTATTATAAAGAATTGAACAAATCATCTTCAAATTAGTAAAACTTAATTTCCACTGTTTGTCTAGCTCAGGGTTTAGTTGTCTAGCTCAGGGATTAGTTGTCTAGCTCAGGGTTTAGTTGT